GGTGGTAAAATACAAGTATGCAAAATGGAATTCTGGGGCATCAAGTCTGATGTGTGCAGATGGCATAAAGGCAAAGTTCATCCAGAAAACGGCCCTGGAATTTTTACATCCTGAAAAAGTATCACAAGACACTTTTGAATCTGAAACAACCAGAACTCCTTAATTTTTGTATAGTGTGACTCCCTCAAGTATGAAGTTAACTTTTCCTGACAGTCTCTTTCCCCTCCTTCAGAAAGGAAAATTGCCCAACCTTGATCTACAGACTAGAGATATTTTCAGAGAGACCTAATTATCATCTCCACTTAACAACCCATTGAGAGAAGAATCATCACATCGCAGCAGGTGCCATTCGATCACATCTTTGTACATTTATCCATCACACTCATTATCACAAACACAGAATTTTACTTAAGTAGTAATACTGGTCATTAAGATTTTCTTTGATTTCTGTAGAACAAGTTGAATAGTAGACTGATTTCTAAATTACAGTCTTAACCATCTTACAAATTAGACATCATTATGGCTCAGAACAATCTCCCGCAACAATCATCGGTGCTCGTTATGTGAAAACACGTGAGAAGTTCGACTGGTGTGAGATGTCAGACCCCATCTCTCTCCACAAGCTCAGCCTGTGCCTCAGGAATTACCCTTCCTTCTTGTGTGGCTGTCACTGCAGATGAATCGCTCTTCCAGATGTGAGGACTTACCAGACACATGCTTGGATGTCGCTCATTCCCTCAGGACTCTGTTTCACAGACTGAAACAGAAAGCACTCACCCAGCACCTACCTGCTTCTGGAGCAGCAGACCCAGGCACGCACTCCCTGTGTGAGAGGGAGGTGGCCCGACTTTGAAATTCGGGCTCATGGTTCTGTGATCTCAACTCCCCACAGAAATGCAATTATCATTTCACCGGTAGTTTCGATGACAATGCACAACTGGCACTTGAGACTAATCTAAAAACAAAACAAAACAAAAAAGTTCTCTACAGTTCCCAATTCCCAGAAACAATTAGAAGTTTCTATGAGCATCTCTCCGAGAGTTTTGACACTTTGGAGAAGCTCTTCCTTTGCCACGGTCCCGACAGGGAAACTGTCACACGATGGAAGCAGAAAATATTGAGATCTGACAGACAAGTCACAGTGAAACGTGTGAATTTAACTCTGTTGCAATTTTGACACATTCAAATTATATATGTTTATTGTGTACAACCCATTGGTTTAAAATACATATATACTGGGCCAGGGATTTAGCTCAGTGGTTCCGCCACCTGCCTCACAAGTACAAGGTCCTGAGTTCAATCCCTGGTACCAAAAAAAAAAATAAAATAAAATACATATATATGGTGAGATGGCTATATTGACCTAATATAGGCACTCACATTTTTGTGATAGTAACACAAAATCTACTCTCTCAGGGATTTTCAAGAATATAATTCATAGTTATTGAATAATCATCACGTTGTACAATAAATCTCCTGATTTTATTCTAACTAAAATCTTACATGCCTTGACAAACATCTCCCCAAGTTACTCCATGCCCCGCCCAGCCACTGATAACTACCATTCTACGCTTCATTTCTATGAGTTTAAGCATTTTCCACTCATGTATTTGGGATCATGCTGTACAGTATTTGTCTTTCTGTGCCTGGATTATTTCAATTAACATAATGTCTTCCAGGTTCGTCCAGGCCACACAAATCATAGGACATTTGTTTGTTTCCTTTGAGAAATGACTCTTTGGGTCCCCTCTGCCATCTTTTCCTTTATGTTTTTTGTTTTCTTATAGTGATCAACTTGGCAAAGGCAAACACAGTGACACAGAATTCCACAACTGAAAAACATTATTTTTAAAAAGTAAGAGCACAACTATAAGATTATCTGCACATGTCCAGTAAGTTTAGAGAGGACAATACATTCAAGATGCTGAATGGAAGAAAAGTACTCACTATACCTGTAAAACTGTCTACAACAAAAATTTAAATTTTAAATTTCCCAGATAAAATTTCCCAGGAAAACTTAAATTTCCCAGATAAACAAAAGATGTGGGAATTCATTAGCATTGCACATGTCTTATGTGAAATGCTAGAGTAAGTCAGGCATTTACATTAAAAAATCAAATAGGTAGCCACACTATATACATATGTGTTTAAACATATTAAAATAATCTAAAGCTCCCTACTAGGGCAAGCGCAAGGTCCTGAGTTCAATCCCCCAGTATTGGGAAAATAAAAATTTTAAGAATGAAGCTCTCTACTAAATGCAAATATATACACAGGATAGACTGTAGTATCATAATGATAGTGCATAAAATGCTTTTAATTTTGCTATATATTTTAAAAGACAAAATCATAAAAATAGCCATAAATCTGTGTTGACGGATGCACAATACAAAAAGATATTCTTTGTGACATCAATAATAGACCACGTGGACGTGTAAAGAAGTGGGGTTTTATATGGAAATGAAGTTATCAGTTAAAATGTACTGTTGTAACATGAAGATGCTTTATATAATACTTGAGATAATCACAAAGAAAATCTCTATCGAGGATAAAACAAAACATTAAAAAGAGATAAGAACATATCACTACACAAATCAATGAAGCACAAAGGGAGGTAGCATGAGAGAAAAGCAGGGACAAAGTTCCTACGCGATCTGCAGAAACCCATTAACCAGACAGCAATAAGTCCTACTGTTTCCATAAGCCCTTTAAATATTAATGCATTAATGGGAAAAATACTAGAGACTCAGAGTGACCACAAGAGCGTAAAGGTACACATAGTAAAATTGAGCAGAGCAGACTTTCAGTGAAATGCTAGAATACGAGACAAAATGTGTGTATTAGCTCTCTCATTACCGGAACAAAGTACCTGACACGCACAACAACGAAACATGAGAAGAGGTTTATTTTGACTCAGTTTCAGAAGTTTCATCCCATGGTCACTGGCTTCCAGTCAGAAAGAGCATGGTAGGGGGCCCTGGCAAAGCAAAGCTCCCCAACCCATGGCATACTGGAGCCAAAGAGACAGGACAGAGCCAGAGCCAGATACACCCCGAACTGGGGCCACTCCTCCACCTGGGCCCAGACCCCACAGTGTGTGCAGCTGTGAATTCATCCACTGACGAGAACAGCACCCCGTGTTCCCTCCACCTGACAAAAGCTCCACCTCAGAGCCCACAAGACTTTGAGTGGATACTTTAGATCCAAAACACACTGTAGATCTAACAGTACACTTAAAGTAAAAATTATCACAAGAGACAAGGAAAACATACACGATAGTCAAAGAGCCCCCTGACAAGGAAGATACAACAATATGAACCCAATGTCAGGCCCCCTCGTAGACAGCGCACCACTGACCTAACTGAGGCAAGAATGTACAGCAACACAGTAACAGAAAGGGACTTGAATACTCTGCTTTCAATCATAGAAAGAAAAAGCAGAAAATTGATAAGGAAATAGAGAACTTGAACAACATTAAGGACCAGTTAGACACAAGAGTCATGTGTAGAACATACCAGCCAAGAGCAGCAGCGCACATGGTATCCACAGGCACAGTTCTCCAGACAGCGCGCTGGGCACTGAAATGAGTCTTAACAAATTTAAGAAGATGCGAATCAAATAAAGTATTGTTTCTGACCAGAATGTGATAAAACTAGAAGGCAAAGCTAGACAGAAAACTGGCACATGCACAATATGTGGAAATTAAACACACCCTTATTCAAGAGGTGAAGACGGCACAAGGGGCCTCGCACTTCCCATGGTGCTGTCCTGGGGGCACCGGTGCTCTGAGTCTCCCCTTGCCAGCCCTCAGGGCAGCGACCTCAGTCCCAGCCCTGAGCCCACCCTTGGCTTCTCCCCACCGCTCCCCTGCAGCCTCAGGCACAGAGACCTGGGACCTGTGAGTAGCAAGAGATGCTGTGTGGAGCACCGCTGACGGCCTCTACAGAATACCAGACACACAGGTTCAGGATCCAGAATACTTTCTCACCTCGAATCAAAGATTTACTCGATAGCCTTCTTGGTCTTAACTTCATATCAGGTAGCATTTTTAAGAAGAGATTTAACACATTTGCAATAAGGGAGTCTTTAAAAATGATACACCCTGTACTTCCAATGCCTGAGAATAGTGAGGTAGTAAAGAGATGATGAAGTTATCGAGTCTGTCAAAGACCTTCTTTCCAATGAAGACTCAGCTGACGATGCTTTTTAAAAGAGTGAACTAATTGCTGATGTCCAAGAAGAGAAAGATTCAGATGCTGAAGAAGAGTGTGAAGTTGAAGAAAAAAGACAGCTTGGAACAATAAGTGACAAAACATCCCACGCTGAGTTGGATTTTCTGTAGGTTGAGGGGATGTGTCGAGATTCCCATACCTCTGGAGGAAGAACGTGGGTGGTGCGTATCTTTTACCGTATTTATCCTATTTATAGCAGTACCTGTTCGCCCTTTTCCTTCCCGGAACTTTCTATGGGCCAGAGAAGTCGTGAGGCAGCATTGGTGTGTGGAATTACCGAAAACCCAAACAGGGCGGGACTGGATTTGCAAGTTGTGTAGTGTACTATTTTGTGGCTCCCTGCTACAACGTCATCACTGGCTGCACTGTGTTTTGCTTTTCTCAGTCTCTTTGGCAACCTCTAGCTTGGAATCAGTGTCCTTTCATAAAAAAATGCATCACACACTTATACAAAGCCAGAATGTGGGGGGAAAGAGTTCTGCTACCACCTACTACTGGAACAGAGAAACAAGCACTGGATATTTCCAGTTCCATTTCTGAAAGTGAGGGCTTAAACTGGAAAATGACGATCTGTTTGCTGGCTGCCTCCGTCATGGTTTGCTTGGCAACAATCACAAACATTTAGTTTTCTGGGAAAATTATATATATTTACTTCTGCGTTCCCATACGTGGTAATTATATGCTTCCTAATCAGAGCATTGCTTTTAAATGGTTCAATTGATGGCATCTGCCACATGTTTACTCCAAAGCTTGAAATAATGCAGGACCCCAAGGTCTGGAGAGAAGCTGCTGTTCAGGGTCTTTGCCTACGTAGATCTGGGACTTGGTAGTGTCATCGCCTTTTCAAGCTACGGTGAGAGACAACGGCCTCTTTGATGCTGTGCTGGTGGCCTTCGTCAACTTTTTCACTTGTGTCCTGGCGACACTGGTGGTGTTTCCAGTTTGGGGACAAATGCTGTAAATGAGAAATGCATTGCACAAAACTCAGAAATGATCATAAAATTTTTGAAAATGGGAAACATTAGGATACTATTCCCCATCACATCCACCTCTCAGGCGTTACTGCAGAAGATTATCATTTGTTTATGACATCACTCAAAAAGTCAAAGAAAAAGTTTCCCGTTCTTCATCTCAGCTCCTGTCAAATCAAAGATGAGCTAAATAAAGCTATTCAGAGGATTGCGTTAGCTTTTATTGCCTTCACACAAGCAATGACATATTTCCCTGCATCTCCCTTCTGGTCAGTAATGTTTTGTTTTGTTTTGGTTGGTTGGGTTTTTTGGTTTGTTTCTTTATTTCTTTGTTTGTTGAGACAGGGTCTCACTGTGTAGTTCAGGTTGACCTTGAAAGCACACTATGGACCCAAGACTGGCCTCAAACTCATGACGATTCTCCTGCCTCAGCCTCCCGAGTGCACCACCACAGCCAGCCCTGCTCAATAATGTTTTTCCTCATGCTGACAAATCTGTCTTGTCACTAGGACTGGAAGTCCCATTTGACCCAGCTATTCCCCTGCTGGGTATCTTCCCCAAAGAATTAAAAGAATCAGGGCCAGGGATTTACCTCAGTCATTCTGCTGCCTGTCTCGCAAGTGCAAGGACCTGAGTTCGAACCCTGGTAACAAAAAACAGAAAAAAAAGAATTAAAAGCATCATACCACAGCGATATATGTGCACCCGTGTTCATAGCAGTACAATTTGTAATAGCTAAAACTTGGAAGCAGCCCAAATGCCCATAAACTGGAGACTGGATCAAGAAAACGTGGTTTTTAAATAAAATGGAGTACTACTCAGCCATAAAAAATGAGAAATTAGAGACATTTATAGCTAAATGGATGCACATTGAGGTGATACTCTTAAATGAAATAAATAGGACACACTTGTAAATACCGAATAGGTTCTCTAGCATGAGAAACTGAAAGTGTAAATAAGGACTAAAAGGTATAATGGATAGTGTGAAATGGGAAGAAAAGAGGCAAAGGGGAAGGGGAAGTGGGAGGGGTAGGCGAAAGGAAAGAAGGGAATGGAATTAATATGAGGAAAAAAATGGAAACAAAGTCTTTGTAAATAGGGAGGGATGGAAGGGTTAAAGGGAGGGCAGGGGAATGGGGAAAAAATAAGAACCAAGAGAGATTATGTAAAGGTGAAAATCTCCACTGATGAATGTCATTATATTGTACACCTAAATGTACCGATAAAATAAAATTTTTTTAAAAAATCTAAGTCTTTTCACCATGTTCGGGACCATTGAAGAAATCATCACACCTCCTGTGGACACTTTCAAGGTCAGGAAGGAAATTCTTACTGTTATCTGTTGTCTTCTTGCGCTTTGTACCAGCCTGATATTTGTGTAACGCTCTGGAAATTACTTTGTTACAATGTCTGAGGATTCTTCTGCCACATTGCCTCTGTTAACTGTAGTCATTTTGGAGAATATTGCTGTAAGATTTGTTTATGGCATAAATAAGTTTATAGCACATCTGAAAGATATCCTGGCCTTTGCTCCCAACAGATATTATTCCTATATGTGGAAATATATTTTCCTTCTGATGCTGTTATCATTGCTAATAGTGAGCCTTGTGAACATGGGATTCAGTCTTCTTGGCTATAATGCATGGATTGAAGATAAGGAATCTGAAGAATCCCTGACCTATCCATTGTGGGGAATGGTTGTCTGTGTCCTCCTGATACTCCCTGCAATACTTCCTGTCCCAGTGGTCTACACCATTAGTCGCTGCAACCTCATAGGTGACAGTTCTGGTAATTTAGCATCTGTGACCTACAAGAGAGGAAGGGTCCTGAAAGAGCCTGTAAATTTAGAGAGAGCTGAAGCAAGTCTCATTCTTGGTACACTATCAAGTGAAACGTCAACTCCAAAGTTTGGTAAAATATTTACTGAAAACAGAGTGGATCACCAGCTCTGTATACTTCTTCCAGTGGATGTTATGGAATAGGATACTTGTTGGCAGACATGCCAAATGTGCCAGATATGCCAGAATCATGTGACTTGTAGTAGGGGAAATCAACAGGCCATATCTGGGTGAATTTATCAATGAACACTGGCTCTGCTAAGAGAAGCATTAGGCTACACTTACCAGAGGGAGATCTCAGGTGTTCTATGGCTGTGATCTTTAATCCTAACAGTACATGTCAATTCAACTGGAGCATTCCTTTGGATTCTCTGCTTTACATTTGTGCAGAAAGGATTACATACAAAGCTTACAATGACTGAGGTCCATTTCTGTCTGGATTTTTTAAAGTATCTTTGGTGGATTTTCAAGTATTTCTATCTCTACAAAAACAGGTATTACCTCAGTTACTAGTAATTTCTGGATTTGATAGCATTGGCAATTCAATAATGGTATAACCTTAAAATCTATGAATTCGCCTTCAGGGTAACTCTCAGTATTACAATGAGCAGTTGCATAAATTAACACATATCTATGAATATATTATGTAGATAGGCTGTATTTATTTTAGTAGCATGGATACCTTCTTAGGCATTTAGTTGAAGAAAACTATAAAATATTTTCTTATATAATAGCTGTATAGCACAATAGTATCAAAGATGAGAAGGCACTAATGCTGGGATGAAAGGTTAGATTTAGAGGTGACTGAGGACAATGTGAGTGATGACTGAATATTTTGTGTAAAATACATGTGTGAAGATGATATAAGAGTGAGTCACTCAGCATCCTCAAGAATTATGCAGATTTTGCATTTTTCTTATGCCCTGTGCCTAAAAATGTACATGATATTTATTGTGGTTTCAAGATTACTCATCGTATATTTATATAATATACTTGCACTGTATATAGATGTTTATTAGTACTCAAAGTACTGATTTGAAAACTTGAAGCAAGATGGGATTTTATTTCATATATTTCTGTTTTGCTTCTGTTTTATGCAAATATAAACCCTTTTTTAAGAGATTGTTAAAATTGTATGACATTACATTTTATTCTACAAATAAACATAGTTTTAAAAAGAGACTTAATAATGTTAAATTGTTGATACCAATTTTTTGGGTAAAATAGCAGAATACAAGTATCCTTTGTGTGACTAAGTGAGAAGAATTGAGAGAAAGAAAAAGTTATACACCAAAGAAAGAAAGAGAGGAAGGGCTTCAGGAATCAAGAAAGAGGTGACAGAACTGTTTATTACACCTGTAATCCCAGCACTCTGGCGGATGAGGTGGGAGGATCACAAACTCAAGTTCAGCATAGGCAATTTAGGAAGACCCTGTCTCAAAATAAAAATTAATGTTGGGGATGTACCTCAACGCAAAGGCCCTGGCTTCAATCTTCAGCGCTAAGAAAAAAGAAAGGAAGTTCGGAGAGAAAGAAGGGAGAGAGGAAGGGAGGGAGGAAGGGAAGAGGGAAGGAAGGAAATGTAGAACACACTGAAGGCTAATCACTCAGGACCACGCACTTCCCACCAAGTGAACCACATTTCCCAGAAGTCTCCGCGGCATAGCGCCCGTAGATCTGTGTCGAGTTGCATCCCGGGAAGCCGTGGCGGCCAGCCTCCAGCCCTGCGGATTCCCCTGATGAGGACTGCATTTCCCAGAGGTCTGTGCGGCACAGCCCAATGAGGAGCCTGCCGAGTTGCATGCTGGGAGGCGTGATTCCTGCCTGCGGGATTTTTAAAAAGGGTTCCACCTGAAGTCTACTGCGGTTCTCTGGAACCACGCTTCCCTTCCTGCTATCTGGAAGCGGGAAGCGGGAGCCGGGGTTGGGCCCCAAGTGGAGAATTGTTTACTCTACAAGAACCCGAGGCTGGGAGCTGCGGGCAATGGCGGCGAAGGAGAGGCACTATTTAAGAAAAAAGGAACAAACAACCTGGACCCAAGGCTTTGAAAGCGGCCAAGAAGGGAAGTGCGGCGGTGTTATGTCAGACTGCGTCAAAGGCCCTGCAGCGTCCCAGGCCTGAGATGCGTGCATCTGAGCATCTGCGAGGTGGCCTGTGTTCCCATAAGTGACACTAGTGTGCGTGAGCGACTGTGGGGTGGAGGATCTGGGCCTGAAGCCGGCTACCGACGGGGAAGCAGCCAGGCCCTGCCTCCCTCGACTGTATAAGGTGCGAGTGTGTGGGTTCTGCAGGGGTGGCCCGGCCACCACGTGCCTCCTTAACTGTGAACCTTGTCCCTGCATGGTGTGGCTGATGGTATCAGGTGTGAAAGGGCCTGGGATTGTGTAGCTGTGACCCGTGTGAGAACGCGCTTGGGTGCATGGCTTGTTAAGGGAGCACAGGTAAATGTGAGCCTGACTTGTTTCAGCATCTCCTGCTTTCTCTGACTTCACTTTCCAACCATATAGTACCTGTTTGGAAGCAGCAGCCCCAGAAGGACGTGACAGCTGCCCCACTCATGAAAATGGCCGAGAAGCAAGGCAAAGACATAGTCATGAAATGAAAATTTTACAACCAGAAGTGCCCTTTATGCACAGTGCCTTAACAAAAAAGAATACAAATTTCTTTTAGGGAAGAAGAGGGCTTCATGAGAGGGCCAGCTACAGGTTTCAGAACCCCGGTTACTCTTGGTTTTAAGGCCATCTTAGAAACCTCTGGGCCATTAGAGCCAAGTGGAGGAGGAGGTGAATGCACAGGATGAAGTGCCAAAGAAGAAAGATGAGGCAGAGATCCAAGTATACTACCTCGTCACCCATGGAGGCCAATGGAGCAGAAATGAGGAGTGCCAGGGGCCAAGGACACTGGTATGAGTTGTTGGACTTCAAGCTACGGTCTAGAATGTGTCTCAGTGGACCACACCTTCACTGCCATCAGATCACCCAGACCACCACAGAGAGATCCACCTTGTTCATAACTAAAGCAGTCCCTGTCAGTCCTTTGCCCTGGACCTGTGGCAGCCTTGACTTGTTCTGTTCTCAGTTGTGGCTGAGTATAACACACGGAGAATAAATCATCTCTTCTGCTGTGTTAAAGGAAAGAACCCCAGCTACCAGAGCCTACACCCCAGGAATCTCTGAAAAACCCAGATCCCAGGCCCTTCTTATTTTTGATTGATTTGAATATGCTGCCCGCAGGTGTGGTTTTGAGGGAGTTTTCTATTATGTCCTGTATCCAAGAAGGTCCTTTTCCCCCCTGGCCAGCTGTCCTTCAGAAAAATCATCCTGAGGAGGAAGAGAAATTGTGTCACATATTAAAATCAGGTTTGGGTAAGTTTCCTTTATCTTCATGGAATGATTTGTGTTTTACAGCTTGGGACCATGTTCTTTCCTTGGTGCTGTTTCCCCCATAGCAACCTGTGCCAGGAATTCCCTCCCAGGGGTGATGGGGGCTGTGCACATGTACCCCCCACTGTACCCTCCGCAGTGAGTAGTCACAGACCCATTTGGAAAATTGACCAGAAGTGATGAAAGGGGCATCCTTTCTTGTTCCTGATGCTGGAAGAAACCTTTCAATTATCATTATTCATTATGGAGTTGATTGTATGCTTCTGATATACTTGAGGAACATTACTTCTATACCTAATTTACTGAGGTTCTGTCATGAAAAGATGTCGAATTTGGTCAATGATTTTTTGTGTCTCTTCAGATGATCATATGCCATTTGCAAGTCCTTCCATTAATTTGATATATCACATTTATAGATTTGTGTATGTTGACTCATACTTGCATCCCTGAGGAAAATCCCATTTGATCATGGGGCAGGTTTGTTTGGATGTGCTTGCTTGTGCATTTGGTTTGCAAGTACTTTATTGAGAAGTATTGCATCTCTGTTTAGTAGGGCTATTGCCCCGTAATTTTCTTCTCTCGGCATGTCCTTGTTTAGGTTTAGGATCAGGGTAATGCTTGCCTCATAATAAAATGAGTTTGGAAATATTCCCTCCTTGGTGCCCTATGGTAGTGCGTGCCTGTCATCCCAGCATCCCAGGAGACTGAGGGAGGGGGATTGCAAATTGAGTCCCTCCTGGGCAACTTAATGAGATTTAGTGAGACCCTTCCTTAAAATAAAAAATAAAGGGCTGGGGATGTAGCCCAGTGTGAAGGCCCTGGATGTGCATGCGCACATGCGTGCACACACACACACACACACACACACACACACACGGGAGTGAGGGAGAGAAAAAGGAAATATTCCCTCCTCTTTGATTTCTTGGAAGAATTTCAAAAAAATCAGTACAATTCTTTGAATGTTTGGTGGAATTCCGTTGTGAAGCCATCTGGTTCTGACCATTTCAAAATAGGAGACCTTGTTTTATTTATTCACTCTTCTTTATTCATTTGTGGTATCTTCAGATATTGTTTATTCATGATACAATCATGGAAAGTTCTGTTACTAGGAGTTCATCCACTGCTTCTGTTATTTGATTTTTTTTTTTTTTTTGGTACTGGGGATCAAACTCAGATCCTTGCGCTTGCTAGGCAGGTGATGGAACCACTGAGCTAAATCTCCAGCCCTTTATTTGATATTTTGACATATTCATAATAGTCCCTTACGACCCTCTGTATTTCATCCTATTGTCATAATGTCTTTTTTATTTCTCGTCTACAGGCTTGAGTCTTTTTCTCCTTTTTTTATTTTTTGTCTTTAAAAAAAAACTTAAGCTGGTTGTGACGGCACATGCCTGTAATTTAGCTACTCAGAAGGCCGAGCTATGAGGATCACAAGCTGAGGCTGGTTAGTGAGGGCATCTCTCAAAACACAAATCAGGGCTGGGGATGCAGCTCAGCACTCCCTGGGTTCAATCTCCAGTTCTACCCTCACTAACCTTTTCCTGTTGTTTTTCTGTGCTCTATTCTATGTATTCTACTCTGATCATTTACTCCCTTCCTTCTAGTAACTTGGCCTTAATTTGTTCTTCTTTTAGTTCCTTTTAGTGTAATTCAAATGTTTGGGATTTTTTCAAGTCTGTAATGTAGGTGTTTATTGCCATGAACATTCCTCCTGGGACAGCTGTTGCTGCATCCCGTAAGTCATAGCATGCTCTGTTTTCCTCGTTTGTCCCAAGGTTTTTTCCTTCCAGGGCTGGCTTGGACTCAGAGCCTTGTGCACACTGGGCAGGTGCTCTGCCGCTGGAGCACACCCACAGCCCTGTCCCAAGGTACTTTGTAACTTCTCTTTTACTTTCTCCCTTGACCCCTTGGTGTTCAATCATGTTGTTTAATCTCTAAGTAGTTTCAAATCTTCCAGCAGTTCTCCTCTTATTGGTTTCTGGGACCATACCATTGTGAACAGAACATATGCTTGATTTGATTTTGACCTTCTTCAACTTGCTAAGACCTGTTTTGCAGCTTAACATTTCCTGTGACCTAGAGGGGTTTGTGTATGTGAGGAAAATGTCTATTCTGCTGCTGTTTGATGGAATGGTTTTTAAGTGTCCTTTGGGGCCATTCAGTATAAAACATCTTTCTAGCCCAGTGTTCCTGATTGCTGTTCCATCTGGCTGATCTACCCATTGTTGAGAATAGGGTATTAAAGGCCTGTAACATTGTATTGCTCTCCACATCTCCTCTCATGCTTATTATTATATTTAGTTATTCTGAAGTTCAGCACATACATAATTACAAGTGTTATATTTTCTTGATGAATTGATACCTTTGCAGTTACAAAATGGCATTGTCTCTTTTTACAATATTTTACTTAAATTTATAAATTAGTATAGCTATCCCTGCTCTCTTTTGGTTTTCCATTTTCTTGGAATATTTTTCCCCTCCCTTTCTGTCTGTCTGTCCTTAAAGCTAAAATGTAGGTGGCATATTATTAGATTTTTTTAAATATTTTTTTAAAAAATTTTTTTATCTAACCATTCCAGTCTTTTGATTAGAGAATTTAATCTATTTATATTTAAAGTAATTTTTACCAGCCAGGACTTTCTACTGCCATTTTGTTAACTGTTTACTGCATTTTATGCTTCCTTTATTCCTAACAATCTTGCTGATGATATGTTCAGTTTTTCTAGTATAATGTTTTAATCCTTGCTATTCATCTTTTATATATCTTCTCAAAGTTTTGTTCTTCATGGTTGCCATGGGACCACAGAAAACATCCGGTAGTTATAATATTGTTATTTAAGCTGACAACAACTTCAGTTGCTAAAATAAACAACAAAAAAAGCTCTACCCATTCACTTCTCCCATACCCACCCACATTGTTTTTATTAAAACAATGCATCCTTTAAATTTGTGCCCTTTGACAGATTATTCCAGCTATCACAATATGTTTGTCTTTTAAATGTTTTTTAAATGTTTTATCTACCACCATTACAGAATTACCATATTATGTACTTGCCTTTATTAATGAATTTTTGTCTGGTTTTGTTTTGTTGAGGCAGAGCCTCAATATGTAGCCCAGGCTGGCCTTGAACTTCTGATCCTGCTGGGATTGCAGCCTTGTA